CACTTATTTGATGTCGCACAGAGAATGCCTACTCTACTCCGCTCTCATTTCATCGTCGCCGTCTTCCCCTTCACGAAGCAGCAGCTCTCGGCGGGTCTTCTTGTGTGCACCAACCTTCTTACCCGACCGCCGCAGTACAACTCTTTTGCCCAGGGTAGCGGATATTGTTTGACCGCAATCGAAGTCGTCGTGCCAGATCTCAAAGCACGTTTGGCAATTCCCTTATACTGTCGTCGTATCGTATTGCACAGCCAACATTTCGCGTCATCAATAGAGCAACGCTCGCAAAAGAACGTCGTAGCGAAAGACTTCTTCTTATGATCCGAGCGCAGGAGCGCACAGACCTTGCACGACCGCTGTCGGCGCTTTTGAACGCCCGTAACAGTCACCAAGTCATCCAATTGCTCCACTGCACGCGTGAGTTGTAACTGGACACGCTTTCTTTTCTGGCTGCTTGATGGTGTTGTGGCCACTATACCTGCGAAATCCTCCACCTTCAGCTGCAGCAATTGGTTCTGCCGGACTCCATGCCACTCTCCTCATTTCACTGTTTGCGATCCAGTAATACGTGCAGACTCCCTGTGCGAAATATACGCATTAACTAGTGCTAGATCCACGAAGCCCAAGAATAGACTCTTGTAATACTTCTTGAACTTAGTGGACATCTGCAACGAGTACGTTTGTAGGCGGGGTTGATCATGCACGTCAACTCCGCCCATCCAACGTTGGTAGTCGGTCACAGCTGCTGAACAGGGAACGGAGATTGCTCCAACCGGCTTGATGTTTCTGGCAATCGTCGTCTCTGTCATTGCTGAGCCTGTGTACAGGTAGTGCACAGGTTTCCGGTCTTACCAGTTAAAAGCAATCATGTTGGGGATGGCCACCGAGCGGGAGAACGTTAACGTGCCCCGGGATATGCTAGCTGGGCGTGACTTGCGCTTCTTTTTGATATTCGCATCATATCCGAGCCAACTGGTCATGATAGTACCGATCACATACACCTGCATCGCCAATAGGTCTATGGAAAGAGGAATTGACGTGTAAAAGCGGTCAATAGCGACTGCGTGCCATGGGTGTCGCGTGGTGGGGCCAAGCACAGTCTTCAAATTCCGAACGACTGCAGATGCACCGGTCTTATGATCAAATGATGCGTTATCGCCGTCTCCAGCTCTACGCTTGCCCGTATATAGCTCGAATCTAGTAGCATACGACATAACCGGTCCGACACGTTACTTAAGACGTAACTTACGACATACAGAGAATTGTAAATACCTATGGCAATACGCAGCTCTTGAATCACACACCATAACGATTTTTGACCCGTATCGGTGAGGCTTATCGGGCATGAACATTCTTGTCGTGTTTCGTTTAGGAGTGGAAGGTAGTACGCCTTCGTCAAAGGAGAACACCGCTGGTAGAGTCCACGCAGCCTGAAAGCGATCTTGCAACGTATCTGCAACCATTCGCAGCTTCCACAGTTTGTCCCGTGTACGTTCCGCCTCGTTGTCTACGAAGTGTAAGTCACACAAGATATCTTGGAATCTATTGCGTCCCATGAATCTTCCAAAATTTCCAGCAGGAACGGCTCCGTCCTCCACCATCGACCAGTTAGCAGCAAACCGTCGTCTTTGCGGACAAAGCATACGCGCTGTTAAGAGCCCGATGACGTGCAAAATCTCGTGCGTCTCGTATCCCGGCTTCGCCTGCCGCCGACTGATTTGCTTGACCGTTTCCCGCCGCCGATCGTTTTGCTTCGCATGTATTCGCTCTGCCCGCCGGTTGACCTGCTGAAGGCCATACCGGTTCGTTTCTGTGGCTATTTCTAACCCCAGCGCCTTGGGCATAAAGTAGAAGAAAGATAGTAGCGGAGAGTGGCAAAGACCGCGCAATTCAGCAATCGGATGCGCCTCATCCATATTTAGACCAGGGTACGGGTGCGTCCCCTCCTCAAACTGGTGCGACACTGGCGTCTACTGCATTGCTCGCAACGCGTCCTCGAGCTGCTGGGTTGCTTGTTTGTTTAGGGCATCGCTCCCCACTTGAAGCGATTCGATGAATGCTGCGTCCATCGGAACAGCGTCGTCTTCTGATAGCTCATCATCGTCTTCCGGTTCGTCACAATCATCGATGCCATCGTCATCATTGTCGGCGTCTATGTCGTCGTCACTTTCGCCCGAGCTAAAGCTCTCATACTCGCTCAAGTCCTCATCGTCTGAAATGAAGTTCACGTCTTTCTTCACCGAGCACCGAGAGCGTAGACCACGCGTAGAAGGCGTTTCAGGTACACTTACAGGTCGGGTACCACGAGCATTCGCAGGCCGAGCAGCAGGTACGCTGTCTTGTTGGGCAGTGGGTACAGTGTCCGTTTTAGTGTCGCTTTCCGCGCCAGACACTTCGGACAGCAGCTGCAGGCTCGACAGCCAAAACGCCCGTGCAACCGCTGACTGGGAAAGCTCTGGGTCAGAGCTACTACAGCTACTAGGTGTACCAAAGCGCTCATTCATGGTCCTCTGGGACAGCTCGGCGCTCGTATCAATTTGCGACGCACGTACATCGTCAAATGCGTCCGACGTGTTTTTGGCGTTGTCGTCGGCGGCTGCAAGGGTTTCGTTGACACTAGCAGCGGTCTTCTCGGCGGCAACAGTCGTCTTGGTGGCGGAAGCAGCGGATGTCTCGACGGCAGAAGCAGTGATCTTGTCTGCAGCGGAGGCAGCGGCAGAGGTGGTCTTCTTGGCGGAAACGGCTGTCTTAGTGACGGAAGCAGCGGATATCTCGTCGGCGGTAGCAACGGTCTTGTCAGCATCCAAGGCAGCGGCAGATGTGGTCTTCTCGGCAGCAGAGGGTGCGGCAGCGGGTGTCCTGTCGATGTCAGCTGTGGTCTTTTCAGGGGTGACGGTTTCTTGGTCGGCACCATTACCTTCATCAACAATCGCCCCATCGCCCAACAATCCTGTTTCCAACGAGTACGCAACCACAGCCTCTTCTCCAACCAATACTTTCGATTCATCTGCACTTACGTATTTTCCCTTTGTCTGGATCCCCTTCGACCGAATGTATTTCCACCCCACTGCTCTTAATTGCCTCCAAAAGTGTCCAAAGTCGATGTTTCGTGTCACCGCAGCAACGGCGTCCGTTCTCGTGCGGTTCTCTGAGCGAATGCGCGCCATGGGGCAAAATCGATAATGAGTGGTATCTGGATGTGGGCCACTGAGTGGCGGCCGGATATTTTCCCGTGCATCCCATCGTTCCCGCTCGTCCCTGATCCCTAACTCGTTTTTTCTCATTTAACTGTTGAATTTAATAATTTTGAAATGACTTGATTAAAGTATTGGATTTCTGTTTCCGAGCCATTTTCTATTGTTGTTTCTGCTATGCCGTAAGTTACAACATAATAAATGTGTCATGTCCGTAACTTAAGACGTCGGGAACCAAGCGGTTAACTCTTCTTGCTATACTGAATCTAAAATGTGGCTATGACTGCCAATTCCTGGAATGGTGCCGGAGATAGTACCGCAGATGCATTCATTTCAAACACAGCCATCCCCAGCTCAAAGTGAAGGGGAGTAGATAATGAATGAAGCGGAATGCTGCGGAGCTTGCTGTAGTATACTGTTTTGATATGCTATTGTGAACACTGCTCACTGATTATAAATACATGTTACTTGACGAGCGCACAATTGACTCTGTCACTGACAGCGACAACATGCTGCAGAGAACGCTTTCCGTCGGTGCTCATGGGCAATTCTAAAATACGTATAACTGGCAGTTATTAACTGCACAGGATCTTGACAGCGACTGAGTGGCTGAACGACTAAATCTGGTAATAGTACTGTCTTGTCCTTAAAAAGTACGAAGTACGACTATATTCGAACCACGACTAATTAGCGTGAACGGTGTACATGTGAAATGGGGCTTGTTCTACAGTACACTGGAACCGTCCAATCGCAAAAAACCATATTATTGGATCCCATATAATGGGGTCCAATAAGGAAATGTTCTGTGATTATTGTCTCCCACAGTACATGTATACTGTAAACAAAAACCAAATTCAAAGTGCTCGTGTAAGGATGAGGGCGAGGCCAGTACAGTAATACGGAAAACGCAGCAGTAGATCACTCGTTGATGCGGTCCTTGCAGTTGTGATGCCAAATTGGTGCTATTCATTGAGATTCATTTACCAAAGACGGTAAAAAGCAACAAACGTTATACCGTACCAGCATTCCACGAAACAATTCAAAAATGTGGCACGAAGGACGATGATGTCGAGATCTCATCCTCCCATCCCAGAATGGCTTCTCCGAACAGGAAGAATCCGTCCTTCAATACTACAACTATACACCATTTCCCGGCCAAGTTACCAGTTTTACCAACCATCGTGCAAATGGCCCGTTCTTGTGAGATCTAATTTAAGGCTGTGTGGAGACACACCATTTTTAATTTTAGGCTACGGCATTTGGCGATTTGCAAGAAAAAGCCACTTTTCCCACGACTTGCATTTCTGCCCATCACAGCCAAGTTGGCTTATCCAGCAACACATTAGCTATTGTGGCCCAAGCAACATTTATCATGGGCATTCTGCCTCTCACAACCATTTTTGCGCCGGGTGGCTCGCTCCTCGCTCGCCAACAATGGAGAGGGGGAAAATGAGGGTAGCCAGATTCACTATCGTATGTTTTTGCATGCTGGCTCTAGCTCCATCTTCATCGATGGCATGGTCATTCTCATCCCTGTTTGATGGCGATGGCGACACGAATTCAGGCTCAGACAACTCCACTGTCGACAAGTCGGGCGGCGCAGATATCAAGATACAGCAACCTCTTTTGAAGGCCACCGACTGGTTTCTCACAGAGGAGGAGATCACCGCTTCACGAGGAGGATCCCCTCGCAGTGACATGGCGACCTACAGTACAGGCAACGCCGTGACTACCTTTACGGTAACGAAGGAGTTTTTCGACTCGGTCTTTGATGATCTCACGACGACAAAAGAGAACGACCGCGTCATGCTCGCTTCCTGGAATACTGATCTCATCCCATTCAAGCCCGACGTAGACCCAACTGGAGCCACGTCAAATTTCGATATCGTCTTTGGCGGCGTCGTGAAACGTGGAGGCGACGTCAAGATTCTGGGCTGGGCTAACAAGTTTCTTTTCTTCCAGGACGTTAAAGTGCGCAACAAGATCAACAAACTCCCAAAGTCTGGAATCAATGACGGCAACGCGTTGTTCATCTTCGATGATCGTCTCCCTTACGGCATGTCCTCGCAGCACCAGAAGGCGCTTGTGATCGCTTCCGGGAACTCTACAGGCAAAGACGACCACCCAGTGGCGTATGTGGGCGGCATCGACCTCTCAAACGATCGCTGGGATACCATTCACCACAATGCAACTGCGATCCGTAAACAATCTGCCGTTCATTTCCGGCAGAATGGCTGGGTCGACAGCAGCATGCGCATCCACGGACCAGCGGCGAAAGACGTGGCTAACAACTTCCTCGCCCGTTGGAACTCACCCTATTTGCCGACGCAGAGTCTTGGTGACGACCTCGTCAACTTTGAGAACCCGCAATATTCCTACCTGCCACCACTCGACTATGCGAGTAGCAACAGCACGTCGAAACTTGGCAACCAGAATGTACAGATCGTGCGAACTTTCAGCTGCAAGTACAAACACTGGGAATTCGCTCCGAATGGCGAAAACTCGCTCTTCCATGCGCGTATCAAGGCCATCAAGAGCGCCAAGAATTTCGTGTATATTGAAGACCAGTACTTCATCCTCGTGCCGGAACTACTGGACGCGCTACTGGAAGTATTACCGGGTCTTCAGCGGCTGATGGTCGTTGTGCAGCCACCGGAATTGATAACCAAGAGTGCTGGCTACGAGAAATACATGTATCTAAATGTTCAGGCCATCAAGGAGAAGTTCCCAAACAAGTTTAAGATTTACGCGATGAAGCCAAAGCTGGACGTCTACGTCCACAGCAAATTGGTAGTCGTCGATGACGTGTATTTATCAGATGGTTCGGCCAACTGGAATCGGCGTAGTATGACGTCGGATCCCGAGCTGGATGCCAACGTCGTCGATAGTGAGACCACCAGTACCCCAGATGGCATCAAGGTGGGCAAGTTGATTCGTGACTTCCGCGTGCGAAAGTTTCAGGAGATGACAGGTCGTACCTACAAAAAGATCAACGCGATGAAGTTCCTCGACGCCGCAAACTTGTACGACACTGCAGCTGCAGAAGCATCGTCTCTCATCGAGAAGCTCGATGTAGATGAGGAGTGGTACTACAACTTATACGGAGATGCCATTCACAAGAGGGTTGATCCGCAAGACACTTGCGATGGGATTTCGTACAAGGGGAAAGAAAGAGATCACCCCAAAATAATTTAATGGTAGAGACTGGTCCTACTTCTTAAGTACGACCAAGTAACACCTGCGCTACGGGAGGTATTATTACACCTATTCACCTTCAAAATGGCAAATTCGATGGCAAAATGTAAATTCAAAATGATACCTAGTCTGGAAATCGATCAAATGCGATTAGAACTACTCACAGAGTATGACAAGGGAGGACCTAACGAGGGCCCTCATCCGGAGGGCCCTCGCATAAAAAAGAGCAGTAAGATAAACTACAGTTTACCGGTATCTGTACTTGTAAATACCAGTATAAATCGTTCCCGTTGCAGAGACCGTTCCCGTTGCAAATCGTTCCCGTCCCCGTTGCAAATCGTTCCCGTCCCAACGACCGTTCCCGTTGCAAAAATAAAAACGTTTTTCGCATTCACTTTCAGATTCTAAGCAAACTCATGAACTCGGTCACCGGGCCCTTGCTGCCGATGGATATATGGCCGTGGGCCTCGTCCTACCGGATCGCGTTATACCTAAACTACTAGCCGAAGCTAAGGCCCGTACGTACACTAGAGTTTTCAATCGTGTCGGAGGTGGCGACGACTCCTACCGCCAACAGTCTCGCGTGGATAGTGCTGCGCTGTCGCCAGCTCTCTTGGAGCTGCGTAAGGCGCTGGCTGTAGTCATTGGAATGCTGCACCCGGGTTGGAAGCCAGGCGTATTCTCGTTCATGCGCTCGAAGCCAGGCGGAACAGAGCAGGAGGCCCACCAGGACTATTAAGGCGACGACATAGCTCGTGCCCGCGCAGCCCATCCCGGCGGAGTTCCAGCAAGCATGGTGCTAGCTTTGCAGCCCAATACGAGGCTTCGAGTCTTCGACGGATGCTTCGCTGCCAGGGACGACAGCAAAGAGCGCATTGTGGAAATTCCCGTGGAATTTTGCCTAATCTTTAGAGGAGATCTCATTCACAGCGGTGTTGCTTTCATCAAAACTAACTACCGTGTACACTGCTATCTAAGCTACGACGACGTGCACTGGACACCTGATGTGGTCCAAAATGTTCTTCCGAGCCATGGTGTGTGTGGTTTCTGCGGTGTCAAGATGCTAAAAGGGCCTGGGCTGCGCAAACATCGGTATTTGTGTGAGCAGAACCCCGATGGAGCTTCGAACCGGTTGAAGCGAAAGCGCGAGGGCAAGGAGGGTGTCTTCAAATGCGAGTTGTGCCCCAACGTCGAATCCCCGTGGCGAGTAGTTTGCGCTCGCACAAGAGCAGAGTCCACGGTAGCGGCCAGTAGGTAGAGTAAATCTCATTACATCGCATTTGAAGGTTCATATTGCAAATTTCCTTTATTTTTCAAATTATTGGAAGTTGAAGTAAAATTTAAAGTTGAAGTTGCAAGAAAACATATATTTAGACGTATAGCTTCTGTCTGGTCTACTGCTTCTCGTTTGGCTGCTGGTCAGTAAAGGGGATACGGCCGGCAAAATTTCATGAACGCGGTGGTAGGAAAGCGTCTATGAAACTCAAAATTACGTCTCCTTCGTGACTGCCGAACTGTTGCATATCAATCGGGGGCAGACCTACCATTGTAGGTGGAGTAGCAGGATGACTCAAATCCATGCGCTCACTGAAAGTTGGCTCGCGTCCAGTCCCTCTTTTGCCTTGATTCTTTCGATGCTGGGCTTGTCGTTTTCCCTTTTCGAATCGTGCGGATTGTAGCTGGTTCTTGAATTCTTGGTACAGTGTGCTTATCTTGATCCCTATAAATCCACCAATGCTTGTCGAAATCACGAGGAGCTACGAACCGTTGCCCGTTGGACTCGACGATCGAAATTAACTCGTGCAGGTATGGTCTGCCGTGTACGACACGGAAAACACCTGAGCACTTGCTACGCTGAACCCCGCTGTTTAAGATCTTCTCCGCATCTTTCCACAGCCTCTCTGTCTCTCCCAAGACCTGCTCGTGTGATAATACGAGCTACTCTGGAATAACGGTTCTTCTGGAATATGTGAGGTGCAGTGACTGCGTTTTGCTCCATAAGTAAGCGCGTCTCCGACGCCGCGATCGTCCACCAACTCAGAAGCTTCTTAAACACCGTGTACAAATCTCCTTGACTCGATTCCAATTTGCTCTTGATCTTGGCATGCGCTCCTTCAACTGTGGAAGTATCGCGGACACCAAAGTGCATGTACTTGTTTGTACAGTGTTTGACAATCCTTGTCTTGTATTTCCACCAATGCAGATCGAGGTAATCTGACACTGGTTTGCACTTCTCAATTAGATCCTCACGCTTGGCATTGAAGTCGGCTTCTGTTTCGACGTCCACAGCCTCGTAGAAACTCGCCATAAATGAGTTCGTTCGCCAAGAATTCTCCTTCTTTGGTTGACCAGGAGCAGGGTTCTCAACGTCCACCTGACCTAAATGCTTTCTTGCCATGGCCTCGACATTCTTGTTCATGTGCCAACGGCAGACCATTGATGGAATACCTGGAAATACTCGGTCGAGGGCATTTAGACACGCCAGATCGCGGTCCGTCAAGATCACCCGCGCCGGATCGATATCGTTCTCGATCATTTACAGTCGCAGCATATTGAAAGCCCACACAAAATCTTCATCCTTTTCACCGGGGAGCCAACACTGCGCAACCGGAAGAACCGAGTTAGCCGTTGTGATCTCGATGATATTGAGCAAGGGGAGGCGGTATTTGTTTGTCTTGTAGGTACAGTCAGCTACCAGAACGTCGAAGTGAAACTTGAACAGCGCAGTAGTCGCTGGGTGGGCCCAAAAGAGATGAGTGACTTCGTTTGTCTCGGGGTTAAGGCGAAACTTGTAGAAGAACTTGTGCTTAACGAGTTCCTGAAACAGGGCCTTAGTTGCCGTTCTAGATGCCAAGTCGTGTCGACGGCTTGCATCCTTGGCGTTAGAAATGTCCTTGGCAACGATGAGAGAGCGTGGGTCTGCTGCTTAGAACTGTTGCATGAATCGTCGAAGGCGTGGCCCCGGCTGCTGTCTGAAGCTCAACCAAATCCAGAGTGTGTTAGGCCAGTGGTTGTGATGTTGCTTGGATGGCCCGACGCCTATGCTGCGCATGTACGCGAACATCCCGCGAAGGTTGATGGTTACGATGCGTGCTTCGAGCAGTATGAACAATCTTCCACTGGCCGGCAGTGTCATCTTTATCTACAGCCCTAATCCCTACCCGCATCGGGCAAGCCGAGCGCTTCGATCCCCGTAGCGTACGCTTCCGATCATGCTCGGTCAGGTATTGAGTGTTCTTAGGGGCCCCTGCACGGTCACACTCGTAGTTACGAGCCCAAATTTCGCGTTCGGGGCCACCCTTGTACCAAACACGTCGGCGAGAGACGTTGAAGCCGTGATCTAGCGTCCACTGGTGCAGCGCGGCTTCAGCGGCATCGTGAGAGCTGTAAGTGGTCTCTGGGGGCGGCTGAATAGCGTGAAGGGGAAGGTTGTTGCCGCTCATGGCTAATCAAATTGTATTTGGTGACCTTTCGTTCGTCTACAATCTTCGTCTACAGCTTACAGCCATTCGTCTACACGAAAGTACCGGTTTATACCGGTAGGTACATCACAATCACACATGGACCTTTTGTGCGAGGGCCCTCCGGATGAGGGCCCTCGTTAGGATCTCCCGTATGACAAGTGATTAGATAGTACAGGTCTTGGTCAATAAACACTTTTGCGCGGAAATTACCGACTCGGTTCGCCGTTCTTTATTGGGATGCTGCATTCACCCACCATCATTACGATCTACGAAGGTGCCACGATTTTTGCCTGTCACCCATGGTGAACAATTGACGGCGCTAACGGCGCGATGGTCCAACCCAACTAATGAAATCAGATTTGATTGACAGCAGTAAGCAGTGGCGTCGGCCCCTTTTTTCATAATGACATTTTGAATTTACATTTTGCCACATTAAACTAGGAATTTGCCATTTTAAGGGCGAAAAGGTATAGAAAAAAATCGCAAACACGTTTGACCGTTCTTAACGAGCGGTAGTTTTGGGTGTTTTGGTAGGCTAGGTCGTCTAGCATATGTCTCTAAGGGTCTCACGTTCAAGTTCACAGACTGCGGTTAGGGTTATTTCCTACGCCCAACATCGATGAAGTTATAGCGGTTGTCCGGATAGGTTTGACATTTTTTATTTAAAACTGTATTGACCAGCGGTCCTAACACAAATGCGTGTACTCTCTCCATAAGGGGCAGTCTTGCCAGCGGCAAGCAACGACGGAAGTCAGCAGTCATGCCATCGTTTCCCGTGTCGCTGCGTAGCCCAGTTAGTACCAATACTAGCCTAGTAGCCTTCGGAGCCTCCGCGCCAACGCTGCCACCTTTCGCTTCCGCTAGGCTAGCGTTGCTAGCTTGCGGTCGACGGTCCGTGTGTACTTGACGGGATCTTGAAATGGTCGTTTTGCGAAGGACAGAACAGGACGGATTCTCACCCCAGCCTACAACCACCAGCTCCATTCTTAATGACAGCAGCTGCGGTCGTCTAGACGCCAAACTACTAACCTACAAAACTACCGCTTCGTTGAGAACGGCCGTGGGTTTCAGAGCACAAACCCAGACGTCTCTAAGATCCGACTAAAACGATTTGAATTCGAGATCTCTCGCAAAGTGCTCTGATTTATCTGTCGGTTTCAGCACTGCTATGTTGGTGTCGAGAGTGCCAATGAAGCAAAATAGTGGAGATCGAAAAAATTGGCGAAATAAGCTTCCAAACCTAAAATATCGACTAGCGCGGGACGTTATACGCATGATACAGCGGTGCCAATAAGGCACATTACGTAGCTTAGGAAACATGATCACGTGCTAAGAACTAGTTCGTTGTCTCCCTGGAGTGGCGAGCTTAAAGGCGACATACGCGTTATTATAAGGGGAAGTACCCAGGTGCGCTGGGAAGAAAGGAGGCTTCTGGTCAGCTGAAATCGAAATGTGCTAGCTGGTTTCAATGCATTGCGCGTTCTATATGTGCTCAAACTTTTCATGTGCGGTTGCCACGCACGCAATAGCGCAAATCTGTCTACATGTTTTTAATATACTCGGCTTGAGCTGGTGTCGAGCTAAGCACGATCTACGGTCTGGCCCGTTTCGAAAATGACAGCAAAACCGCAAGCGAGTGACTCATTGAGTAGTCAGACCGAACAATTGGTTGGAATTTACAGCACACGATTTTAACATCAACACCTTGACAATGAAGGATAAAAAATGATTAGGAGTTAGCACCGTGGCTTGGTAGCAATACCAGTATTAACACGGTCTATCTTCCATGGCCGTACGCTCTTTACGACTTCGATCCGGTGTATGCTCATCATTATGGCTACCGGCGAGAATGGACACTCAAGTGTGTCACTATTTCTAGGACAAAAATCACAGTTAAACTTAAGTTCAATTTCTGGATATATTGAATTTCTCAAAGGGAGTGTCGTGTAGGAACACGCCAGATTTTAATTCTGCCAATACTTCCCACCCACAGCATACGCAAAGTCCGCAAAGACCTAGCGAATATTTGGGTGAAGCTTCAACCTGAAGGCCTTGACTCAGCCCTAGCACCGGAAAAATAATAGACCCTGTGCGCCTTGTTGGTAGATACACTGATTCTCCCAGAGCACTAGTATCGAGCAACGACTAGTCTGAGGTCACGCGCACACTTGCAGTAACCTCGCTGGTCCTCAGTAGGGAAGGTTCCAGGGCTTGTTTAGCCGGTAAGCGAGGGCGACAGGAGCTTCGTTCTCTCGGTTTGTAGGTATAAGGAGGTCCTTTCTTACACTCCTTAGGGTCGGGCTTCTTGTCGTCAGCACTTAACTTAGCACAGTCATTTCCTTCTCGTCTCTTAGCTTCGCTGGGTGGGTGATCACTTGCTCCTTTAGCAAACATGGTCACCAGCAGGCATAATCCTGGCGAGCAAGTGGGATTTGGCACTTCGGACACTTACCGCAGCCGGACACGACTCTTGCGATCGGAAGGAAATGCTGGTCTCTTAGTTGCGCACGAAGGTGCTTATCGCATAATCTACTATTTCCTATGTCATTTACAAATATGAAGTGTGAGCTTGTCCGTTATGGAGAAATCTTGTAGCCACCAAGGTTTCGGCGACAGGTCGGCCAGGCCTTGAAGAGTCGCCTCCGGATATTATTCGGATACGTCCAGTTGTGGTCCGTCGTTGGATTGTGGGGTATGACAAACCTTCTCGTCTGAGTGACTCAGTCACTCTCCCACGGGTCCCTTTCAGGCAATCAGCGATTGGCCACTCTTTTCTACCAAACTGATCCTTGTCAATCAAAACCTGCGGCAACGGTGGCAGCGAGGGTGGCTTCGATTCTGGGCGTTTCCCGACACCACAAATGCCCCCACCGCGCCTCGAACCTGGGAAAAGATGAGCGGCGTGATGCCTGCGTTTTCAGCGTCATGTCCAAGTCGTCCCGTGGTCTTGACGAAGCCCACCGTGCCGCCTTTCGGCTCAGTAGCGAAAGCCAAGCTTCATCAACGGTACGTCCCTGCTTTTCGCTGTGTATACAACTGCGCGAAGATCTTGTTCTAAATGTGTGCTTGCTACTATGGTTCTTGCTCTTTTTATGCAGAATATGGCTTCGGTTGCTGCAACACCACAAAGCCTCGGCCGTGACGTCCGTGCCTCCTGCTGCTTCTAAAGCTACCTCCACGGAGCGTTAAAATGCTACTTTGTTTGCTAACTGCTTGTACACAGTGTGATGATAGACCTTTTGCACGGCGTTATTCACAAAGTCAGCAGTCAAACTCAAAAAGTGCGCACTGAAATTCAAAACACCGTCAGATTTGCTACCCTTATAATATGATTTCCCCGTCAAATATGTTCAATTCCCAACTTGCATATCCTCGAAGCGAAGTGCGCGTTGGTGATGCGGCAACGAGTGACAAAACGCGCGGTTGCACAGCTCGGGTGCAACGACTTCCGCGAAGAGAGGGTCGGCTGCAAGCTCAAGAAAACCGGAACGATGCTCCGTTATAGTCGTGCCTGCTGGGACGCGCGAAATTGCCGGTCGCTGTCGTGCGAGGAAGCGCTTAACATGACTTTTGTAGGCAGAAATTATATTATCTATCGGGCTAAAGCATGGGGGAGTACGGCCCCAGCTTCAGCATCTCCGCGCCTGCGAATTCCTCATCGGCAAACACATCCTTCCCCCATTTCTGACAGTAAGCGTTGTCAAGCATAAGCACGACCAGCAGCGCTCGCTCACGTCATAAGGCTCCGCGACAACCTTCCAGCTCTTTGCCGCCAGAGCTACTTGAAGAATGCAGCAGCGAGCCTCGCGCTGTAGCGCTGGTAGGAGATCCCCGACATGGCGCCAATCTAAAAATGACGGAGCTAGACGCAGAGAGCAGCATTCGCGCCAGAACTGTGCATAGTCCCCCGCCGAGAGAAACACTACATGTACCGATCATTAAGATTTTTCCAATAAAATAAAGTTTTGTAGTTTCACTTAAAATTCAGTGCGTACGTTTTGAATTTGACTGTTGACTTTGTGAATAACGCCGTGTAAAGGTGTAGTTCTTTTGCTGTTGATGTGTTCGGTGGTGTCGCTGATGTCGCCCAGCTTGTCCACGCCGAGTATGGCGGTGATAACACTCCAAACGCCAGCCTCGACACCGTTGCTCCAGGACGACGGCAAGCACGACGGCATTACCACCAATTTTAAGTACGCTGTTGGTCACTAACACGACCCAAGTAACTTTACAATCAGCGGTAAGTTGCTGGAGCCGTAACTTTCAGTGATATTGGCTTCAAGTGTTGACTGAAAGCTCGTTATTATCAGAGATGAATGCACAATTGCATCTTCCGGCTCTACGTATGTCGAATATCGAAGGTACAGCGCTGTAACGTCACTTGGCGGGCGCTGCTGGCAAAACGTCGGATCGACATATAGCGGAGTCGTTCCTACAACACAACTACAACGTCACGACATCAGGTTGAGAGCAACACAATCGGTTGTTGTGTTGCTACGTAATTTATCTACGTTTTCTTTACTGTGAAAATTTCCGACTAAATTGAAAATTCGCAAGATCCAGTTTTCGCACTTAAGTACGATCCCCCAAAATCATTTCCAGCCTCCCATTTTTGTATTTTGAATACAGACACGAGAAACCAGCCTCCAGCAAGTATGACACCAGCGAAGAAGGGTTGGCAGGCAAACGCGCGCCCCTTAAGCTCAGCGACGAGAGCTAAGGGAGGGAAGGACGTGACGAAGAAGAAGGGGAGACCGTCGAAGCCACCACACGCGAGCTCGCTGAGAATCGACGCACCTGGTAAGTCGCGTTTGTATTAAGTTTCTAAATCGATTTACCAACACAACGCTGATGTCACGTTTAGCTGCTGATG